GAGGCGGTGATGAAATTGGGGGGTGATTAAACCCAGACAGGCTCTAATTTTATGTCTCACACCGTAACGGAGAAGGCATTCGGCTTAATAAAAGTGCTTTTTCATCGGAGATTAAATTGGAAGTCGGAGCAGGGAATTAGCGCTGCTACTGTATATGCAATTTGAGGAGAGTTGATTGGACGGGAGCTGGAGCGGCAGATTAAAGATTGCATGAAATGCGACATTTCATGCAATAAACATTTTTACTGTTGACCGTTGTATGGAAAATTGGTTGTTTATCGTCCCATTAGTTAATTTGTTTCTGAAGCTTCACCAAGCAGATCCGCGTGGAGGAATGAGAAGTTATATGAAGGTTAAATCTTGAGAAAAAAAAAACACAAGTACTTGGTCTTAACACGGCTGGGGGAGTGGTGAACCCAATATTATGGGTGCACAACCGGAAATCGCACAGGTTCCATGGCTGATGGAGATAAGCCAAGTCATTGGCTAGGTTCATGGTCAGCAAATACCTAGTGTGAACCTCAACTTATATGCAATACGCTTCACCATTTTCTTAGCCGTTTACAGGCAAACTATAATGGTTTGGAGTCGAATGTATTCTTTTTTCTTTTTAACTCAATGATGGCTTATTTGAATGGCTTGCCCCGCTGATGGTTTAAGTCCAATGTATTTTATTGATTTTTTAAATTCAATGTTGGTTTATTTGAATGCCTTGCACCACTGATGATGTGGGGTCTAATGGTTTTTATTGATTTTTAAGCTCAATGCTGGCTTATTTGAATTTCCTGCCCCATTGACCTCCCATCCCCCTTCCCCCACTGTAACCTTCCAGTTTTTTTTTTTTTTTTTTTTTAGTTTTTTTTAAGTATTCTTTAGAGTTTTGGTCTAGTCACATGACATTCCCATTTTCTTTTCCTCTTCCTCTTCTATCTGCAGTGGGTGGCTCTGCATGCTACAGAAAGCACTGTAATTAGAACTGTGTTCCCTGTGGCATTTTCCTGCAGCCTATTTGAAGCCACTTCCTGTCCACATGCATCCCCAACAATGGCTTCATGTCATTTCTGAGGGGGGGTTTCCTCATTGTGACAACAGTGGATCATGTCTGCAAAACAGTGCCACAAGTTAACCTGCAGTTTCTTGTTTGTGTATTCTTACCTCCTTGCTGCAGTGCTGTCCTGATCCCTTTCACATGTGTGTGTTCTGTGCTCACCTATGGGCATCGTTTGCTATTCTCTGGGTTTTATTTCCTTCCCTTCCATCACTTCCTGGCCCACCTCCTTGTTTGCCTAACTATTTAAGACATGCTCAGTCTAGGCCAGGGGCGGACTGACAACTCATGGGGCCCCCGGGCAATAGGGGATCATGGGGCCCCTGTGTCCTTGCCCAAACTCAAAAAAGCCTATGAAAAAGGTACCAGGGGCATCTCATGGGGCCCCCTACCGACCCCAGGCCCTCGGGCAGTGCCCGAGTTTCCAAATGGTCAGTCCGCCCCTGGTCTAGGCCACTTTGCCTAAACAACTTCCTAGTTGTCTGAGCTCCTGTGTGTTGCTATCTCCTGTATCCTGCACTGACTTCACGTGTACTGACCCCAGCTTCGTTCTTTGACTGTGCTTGTTTTCTGTCTGTCCTGACCTAGACTAGTCTATCGGATTTCCGTTTGTCTCTTCCCATTGTACTCTGCTCCCGCGAGTGATCTCCCCATCATCAGCTGGGCGTACCCGGGGGTCGCAATCTGGTCCCAGCTTGCTGCAAGTCCATCCCCACCATCAGGGGCCCTGGTGAAGACTCCACACCCTGGGAAATCCCAAGTTGACTATCTACAAGGGCTCAAGGGCTTTAAATAGGTGTTAAAATGGTCACTTAGACCCAGGGGCGGACTGACAACTCATGGGGTTCCCGGGCAATAGGGGATCATGGGGCCCCTGTGTCCTTGCCCACACTCAAAGCACATCCAAAAAAAACCTATAAAAAAGGTGCCAGGGGCATTTCATGGGGCCCCCTACTGACCCCGGGCCCTCGGGCAGTGCCTGAGTTCCCCAATGGTCAGTCCGCCCCTGCTTAGACCTAATTCGGGGCAACTACCCATCTATCCTGTTTCCAGGAATTCACAGTGTATCTTTTATAGATATGATATTTATTTTATGATCATGTGACCTTTATGGAGAAAAAAACCTTGTGACCTCCTCTACAACATTTTTGAATCGCAATGTCACAACGGTGCATACCATAGACAAGTTTGCCTTAATGATGTATCTGCAATGTCTTTATAGACATACTTCGCTATACCCTCTTAATAATTTTCAAATAAAAAATCAGATTAAAGGAAAAAAAAAAAAGTCCAATTGTGATATCCACCAGAAGCCCTTTTTACAGGGTGACAATGAGGGAGCACAACTGAGAGACAGGGACAGAGTGTTGTCACCCTATAACAGTAAGTGTCTGAGCAAGAACCTTCATAGAAGAATCGATAGACATAGCCCTCTGACAGCAAAGGGCGCAATCTGAGTGTAGTAACTAGAGATGAGCGAATTATTCAAAAATTCGATTCGGCTGATTCGCCGAATTTGCGGAATAAATTTGATTCGATGCAAATTTATTCGCTGCGAATTTAACTTATTAAAAGGGTTTCTAGGCTTCAGAGAGCCTTTATATTAGTGCAGAACACTGTACCTTTAATTTAAATGCCCTTGGAGTCTGCTGGGGAAGAGAAATAATACTGTCAGTCAGTATGACATGCAGATGAGTGCCGTCGATCTTAGAATCACCGCACACTTCACTCATTTGGGCAGTCACGGGGCACGACGAAGAAGATGAAGAAGAAAATGAAGAAGAAGAAGAAGATGAAGAAGAAGAAGAAGATGAAGAAGAAGAAGAAGATGAAGAAGAAGATGATGAAGAAGATGATGAAGAAGAAGATGATGAAGAAGAAGAAGATGAAGAAGAAGAAGATGAAGAAGAAGAAGATGAAGAAGAAGAAGAAGAAGAAGAAGAAGAAGAAGAAGAAGAAGAAGAAGAAGAAGAAGATGAGGAAGAAGAAGATGAGGATGAGGAAGAAGAAGAAGAGGATGAGGATGAATAAGAAGAAGAAGAAGAAGATGAGGATGAAGAAGAAGAAGAAGAAGAAGATGAGGATGAGGAAGAAGAGGATGAGGATGAAGAAGAAGAAGAAGATGAGGATAAAGAAGAAGAAGAAGATGAGGAAGAAGAAGAAGAAGAAGAAGATGAGGATGAAGAAGAAGAAGAAGAAGATGAGGAAGAAGAAGAAGAAGAAGAAGAAGAGGATGAGGATGAAGAAGAAGAAGAAGATGAGGATGAAGAAGAAAGATGAAGAAGAAGAAGAAGATGATGAAGAAGAAGAAGAAGAGATGATGATGAGGATGAAGAAGAAGAAGAAGAGGATGAGGAAGAAGAAGAAGAAGAAGAAGAAGAAGAGGATGAGGATGAAGAAGAGGATGAGGATGAAGAAGAAGAAGAAGATGATGATGGTGAGGAAGAAGAAGAGGATGAGGATGATGAAGAAGAAGAAGAGAGGATGAGGATGAAGAAGAAGAAGAAGAGGATGAGGATGAAGAAGAAGAAGAGGATGAGGATGAAGAAGAAGAGAATGAGGATGAAGAAGAGGATGAGGATGAAGAAGAAGAAGAAGAAGAAGAAGAGGAAGAGGATGAAGAAGAAGAAGAGGATGAGGATGAAGAAGAAGAAGAAGAAGAAGAGAAGATGAGGATGAGAATGAAGAAGAAGAAGAAGAAGTAGGATGAAAATAAGAAGAATTCCAGTACAGCAAAAAGTGTCCCTGCAGAGAGCTCCGCTATTTCTGACAGTTCTCTGACAGTTCCTTCACATTTACAGCGGTTGAAACATTGTATCTATTTGTTTCCGAATAAAAACATCTGTATCCTAAATGGAAACAAATAGATACAATGTTTCAACCGCTGTAAATGTGAAGGAACTGTCAGAGAACTGTCAGAAATAGCGGAGCTCTCTGCAGGGACACTTTTTGCCGGCTGTAGAAGGGATGAAAATCGGCCGATCGGGAAAAATTCGATTCGTGCATCCGAAGTTTGCTAATTTTCGGATTCGACGCGAATCTAATTTTTCCTAATATTCGAAACGAATTCCACTTCGCCAAGTTCGATTCGCTCATCTCTAGTAGTAACTAAAAAAAAATGTTATGCCACTTTATTAGGTCCACCTTGCTAGTACTGGTTTAGACCCCCTTTTTGCCTTCAGAACTGCCTTCATTCTTCGTAGCATAGATTCAACAAGGTGTTGCAAACATTCATCAGAGATTTTGGTCCATATTGATATGATAGCATCACCCAGTTGCTGCAGGTTTCTCAACTGCATTTCCATAAACCGTTGATACAAGGCAGGATGGATCCATGCTTTTCATGTTGTTTACCCAAATTCTGACCCTGCCATCTAAATGTCGCAGCTGAAATCCAGACTCATCAGACTAGGCAACGTTTTTCCAATCTTCTATTGTCCAATTTTGGTGAGCCTGTGTGAATTGTAGCCTCCGTTTCCTGTTCTTAGCTGACAGGAGTGGCTCCCGGAGGTTCAATGTGTTGTGCCTTCACAGATGGTATTCTGCATACCTTGGTTGTAACAAGAGGTTATTTGAGTTCCCAGTCTGCCTATTTTCCTCTTACCTCTGACATCAACAAGGCATTTTTGTCCACACAACTGCCGCTCACTGGATATTTTCTCTTTTTTTGGACCATTCTCTGTAAACCCTAGAGATGGTTGTGCGTGGAAATCCCAGAAGATCAGCAGTTTTTGAAATACCCAGACCAGTCCGTCTGGCACCAACAACCATGACATGTTCAAAGTCACTTAAATCCCCTTTCTTCCCTGTTCTGTTTGGTTTGAACTTCAGCAAGTCATCTTCACCACGTCTACATTTCTAAATATTGAGTTGCTGCCATGTGATTGGCAGATTAGCAATTTGTGTTACCAAGCAATTGAACGGGTGTGTATATGGACTTGTTGCTGAGTTCTCTGTGGTATATGGGTCTAACTACAGTCCAGCAGCATTACCCAGTTGCTGCATTGTTTAATGGCTGGATCACAAGGGCAGGGGCGGACTGACAACTCATGGGGCCCCCCGGGCAATAGGGGATCATGGGGCCCCTGTGTCCTTGCCCACACTCAAAAAAAACCCTATAAAAAAGGTACCAGGGGCATTTCATGGGGCCCCCTACTGACCCCCAGGGCCCTCGGCAGTGCCCGAGTGCTTGATCGGTCAGTCCGCCCCTGCACCTGGGATAATTGTATTAAAAGCTGTAGATTTAAAACTGTTGTAGAAAAAAAATGTTAATTAAAACACTAAAGCCTATATAAGATTTTAATGATGGGGTTCCCCACAGAGTGCCTTTGAATTACTATTGAGTTCCAGAGCAGTTCTTGATCTACGGGATTCCCAGCATCATGTAAGAAAGCCATCAGAAACCTTGTAGGCAGGTGCAGTCTATTTTCTCAACCTCAGTGGCACTGTAGAGGGAGAGGAAGTCAAGAGGAACATCTCTTCTATGGTTTCCTGGGTCACTGGGGGAGCAATGTGGTTGGATGCTGCCAACCCATGTGACTCTGGCGGCCATCTGGCTCCCTGGCATGATGTGCATTTTGAGAGTGGATAGGGTAGGGACAAGTCACCATCTGTCAGAGTAGCGGTAGGGAAAGGTTACAGATGAGTAGGGACAGGATATAGGCATACACCCAGTGGTGTATTTAGGGTTTGTACTGCCCTAGGCAACACAAAAATTGCCCCCCCCCCCCCGCAGGAAGAGCCTGACATTGACCAAGAACACACTCTGCCCTCCACCCAAGCATTCCACTACCACTGCCCCCCATACACCGGCCACCATCCTCCATGGTGAGAAAGACACTCACCTGCACAGCTCCGGACATCCCCAGGAACAAGAGTCGGGCTCTGCATACACCATCATGAAACCCACAGCATCTCTCAGAATCCACCAGGTCTCCATGCCGTGTGTGTCCCTTCTTCTGTCCCTTCTTCCAAGGGGAAGTGCTGCCCCCCCCCTGAAAAATGCCACCTTAGGCAAATGCCTTGTGGTAAATACACCCCTGGATACACCATTCTTTCTTGAATCCTCTCAGTTGGGCACAGACTGGTCAGACTGCATTCTGTCCTCTGAGACAGACGCTGTCGGCACATCCGAGACCTGCTCTGTTCCACAATGCTGTAGTAATCTGAACTACCCGGGCGGAGTGCTGTGTCCCATGTGGGAAATATGGTACCGATCACTGATGGGGACCCCTTCTAAAACCTGTGAGTGTTCCAAGTCAGGTGCCTTACCACTGGGATGTTTGTACTGTTGAACTTTGCCTTCCAGTTGTGTTTTTCTGCAACCTGATGTGTGTAATCACTGCAGCTGCACCTTCTTGCAACATGAAGGTCATATACATGCCCTAGTAATCTGAACTACCCGGGTGGAGTGCTGTGTCCCATGTGGGAAATATGGTACCGATCACTGATGGGGACCCCTTCTAAAGCTTGCTTTAGCTCTTGCAATTTCCACCTATGGTTATCTTTACATAACCCAATGCTACTACACTACCTGTGGTCATAGTGGTTTTCACGACTGATATCAGATCTACTGAAGCAAAGGAACATTTTGTTACCGATCATCACACTTTTTCCATCAAACTTTGCCCAGCAGCCTGGGAAGGCAGTTGTCCCAGCTTGCGTCCATGCGTCTCTTCTAACTACAACATTAGACTGGAGCATATCTTTAAACTATCTCAAAAACTTTGATGCACTTTTGCGACACACTTACTCTTTCAACAAATCAAATTTATAAATACATTTGGTATGATAAATATTTTTGAGCGGCGGCAAATTTATCACCACTCCGGTGGAATCAGGTGGCGTAAATCCTCGCTCTGAGCCTCATATTTAATTCATGGCATAAACACACATACTTACTTATTCAACCTGACTCCATCTAGCATTACTTTCCAGTGTTCCCGTCTACTCCGGGGAGCCATCTGCACACAACCATCCACTGTAATTTTTATGGCTGATCTTTGGCGGCTGCAGACTTTGCTGCTTCTCAAAAGACATAACGGGTTTCGGTGGATTGTGATTTATTAACAGAATGAAGGAAAAACAGACTGTCTCAGAACATTTTATTTTGCTCTTTTTACTCTGCCATGGGGTCTAAAATACAAACCACATTTTACCCAGTCAGATGCGTCTCTTAGGCAATCTGTAAAATGCAAAAAAATGTGACCACAAGTTTACTGTAGGAATAACTTTTTCAATAGCTGGGTGGAAAAAAAACAAAAGTTTGCAAGTGCTACTAGGGGATTTAAAGGGAACCTGTCAGCATTTTGAAGACTTTTGCAAGGATGAGTCTTTTTGGAAGTCAACTTATCCGGTAGGAAAAAAAAAAATGTGTGTGTCCCTTTGAGGGCTTCGGAGCTTGAGAGCTAAGTCTTGTCCATCCACTATCCTCCATCCAGTAAGAGCACTTCATTGACCAGCAAGAGCCACACAGAGGGACGGAAGGTAGTGGTTGGTATACTTTGTTCCCCATTCCCATACACTGTAGGATTTGACTCATTTGCCATTCCCAGTAACCAGACCAGTCAATTCACTTGACCAGCAACTTCATTTACTAAATAAGGATGTGACAACTTCTTTCTATACAGTTCCATCTGACAATCTCAAGGCAACGTAAACAGGCAGTAGACTAATGGCATTCCCCTTTACACATGGCACAGTCTTTAGGGTTATGCTGTGGTGTTTCACACCTTTGACTTGTAATAGTTTACAATGAATGATGGTTTGCAAAGAGATTTGCTGATTGGAGAACCCTAAGCTCTTATTCAGCAGTCAGGAAGGGGGGAAACATGTTGGACCTCTGCAGAGAGACCACTTAAAGAAAAACTGAAACCAGTTTCATAGAGGGGAACACAGAGAGTCTACAGAGGTCCAACACACTCCTGAAAAAGGTGTCCAATCAGCAAGGAACAGGATATTTGCTGAATAGAGAACCTTGACTTTGACCCAGCAGAAAGGGGGGAACATGTTGGACCTCTGCAGAGAGACCACTTTCTATTGTAAGTGTTTCAGAGACTGGCAAGGGTTCTCTCATTTGAAGTGGGGTAAGGGTGGTGCCAGGGGCGACTGACAACTCATGGGGAGCCCCCGGCAATAGGGGATCATGGGGCCCCTATGTCCTTGCCCAAACTCAAAAAAAAGCCTATGAAAAAGGTACCAGGGGCATCTTATGGGGCCCCCTACTGACCCCCGGGCCTTCGGGCAGTGCCCGAGTTTCCAAATGGTCAGTCCGCCCCTGCTCACTACAGTTCCATTAAGGATCTTGCCAATGGGTGAACCGTTTCAGTGCACCACTACATACAGTAGCTCCATGTATGGTCCTTCTCTATGCAATGACCAACTCCAGTGGAGAAGCCTTAGAAACCCACCCCCATACACTTGAATACTCCAGCTGAGGAACCTCAATGTATTAAACACTGACACGCCACAGCAAGGTAACCCCAACAAAAGTGTACATTAATACAGTCGGCACCTGCCTACACCCTCAGTTCCTGTTGTTTTTACAATGAGGAGTATAATACCCCAGGGCGGACTGACAACTCATGGGGCCCCCGGGCAATAGGGGATCATGGGGCCCCTGTGTCCTTGCCCAAACTCAAAAAAGCTTATGAAAAAGGTACCAGAAGCATCTCATGGGGCCCCCTACTGACCCCGGGCCCTCGGGCAGTGCTCGAGTTTCCAAATGGTCAGTCGCCCCTGATAATACCATAAAGACTTGTTGCTGAAACGATCATAAGGCTGTTTCAGAAAGGTAGCAGCCAAGCCCCCAAGAGGGTTCCCCACCACCATTCACCATTAGGTACACATGTGTGTTTCGTA